GGTAATGTTAAATGTCAACACAGACTGATCTCATGAAATGGCATATGTATGACTCGCCAATTCGTATTTCCATTTTTGGCGTGCTATCAACACACATAATCGCTCTGTTGACTAAACGTTACATTACTGTATATATAAATATATGACCTACCCCAACCCTGTCCCTAAGGAATAGTAGACTATAATGCTTTCAAGTAACATCACGTCAGTTGTATTTTGACATTAATTGCTGCCCTCAAATGTTAATCTAAACTAAAATAACCCTTTGTTTATAACTACTACAATATTACATTTCATTTTGTCCAAGGAGCTGTTTTGTTTTATATGCTCCTAAGAAAAGTCAAGTATAGTTCCATCATTGCTCAAAGTTAAAAAAAATATCATACTTTATGATGTTAGTTTTAATAAAAATATAATTTAAAAACTTAAATCGAGGAAATTTCTCTGCCATTTCTTTCTTTTTGCTGTATCTGAAACGTACCGAACCGAACCGTGAAACAAGTGTATCGTATCGAACCGAACCGTGAATTTTGTGAACCGTTACACCCCTAGTGAGAACATAAAATGATCACCAAAAAAGCAGACGAAAAATAATTGCATGCTTTAAAGTGTGCTGATGTGTTGCAATTTATAGCATTGAAAGCCTATTAGGCACAGTACTGGTGATCTGTGGCTTTTGACTGGCTGCTGCACCTGGACTGGACCAGCCTGCACTGACAGAGATCTAACAGACCCCAAACGGAATCAAGAGATTAATAAAGATTCCTCACAGCTAGCATTAGTCAGGTGACAAAGAGTCCAAACAAACATCTCACACAACTGATGAGTTTTCAAGTCGATTATTTGAGAGCCATGTGCTTTCTTTTCAGGGGTCATTCGTTAAAACACTCAGGGACCAACGTGTTGTTATTGTTCTCCACAGGCCCCCTGTAAAGTAGTGGGAAAATCCAGGTCTAGACAGAACAGTAGCCCTGAGGCATTTTGTGTGGGCTCTCTGAGAGTCTGTGGCTTGTTTATTTTTAACCGTAGAAGTCCATCAGGACAGCAGAGAATTTTGAATTTAAAAAGTCCTGTCTAAACTAAGCGATCCAAACTCACAGTGATTTCAGATGCAGCATTTACTACTGATCCCAGAGACGCTGTTCAATAAAACACTGTGTATAATAGATATCGTTGAGATTTCATAATCGCACTAAACCAAATCGTGATTTCGGTTTCATTTTGATTAATCGCGCAGCCCTACTGTCTACAGCTTCATAGCTCTCTTCCCACATCAATGCATCCCACATATCTGAGGCCCTGTTAAACTTTACACCTGGTATTAAGATGCGTTTTGATCAATCGGATCACAAGTAGGCGAGGGAGACAAGTACCTGTTTACAACTGGTGTTTTAATCCGTCTCTTTTGTCCACTTTCAACCACTTCTGTCCTGATTTCTTTGACAGGAGAGTCTATGTGCAGTTAAATGTATGGGCTTTTTCAGATCTTTTGATCTTGGTTAATGGATGAAATAAGCTCATGCAATCTACATACGGAGAGCGGCAGCTTTCGTTTCTGCTCTGATATCCATTAGGGATAAACGATACTACTGCTAGTCGACTTTTTTTCCCTTTGCACAATTAATGTTTTGCTTTATATTTTTTTACAAAGGCTACGTTTAAATTACCATCATGTTAATGTTACATTTTAAAGTTAAAATATTATCTTGAAAAGTTTACTATCTGGAGTGGAAAATTAAATCATTTAATTTAACCTCAGATTTTGAATGTGTTAATTTTCTCTGTGGCACTCGCGGCGGCGGGTTCAGAGAAATGTCCACTCGGAAAATAAGCACGGTCCGGCAGTATTTTGAAAGCTTACACAAAACCTTTCCGTTTTCTTCTATGTCATGTCAAACTACAACAAATTAGCTTTAGAGGCTATACTGCCAGTTATGAAGGGCAATACGGTATGATATTTTATATCAGATTACTGGAGAAGCATTATGACTAGGTTTGGTCTATTTGATTAGTCGGTTGCAAAATTTTTGTTTAAACGTTAATGAAATTATTCATTGCAAATATCCCTAATACTCGCGAGACCAGTGAGTAGAAATCAGGAATGGTGAGAGAACATTGTGCTTGCTGCTTGGTTTTTCTTTCTTTTTTCTTTAAACCAAACTTAGGTCTTCAGCTGACAAAGTTTAGCTAAATTCCGTCTGGCTAGCACACTTCCCATATTTACACAGATCAGAAGGTCTTTTGCGGTCATTTGTTTGCAGTCAGAAGGTCTTTTTCGGTCTTTTGTTTACATTATGAAAGCAATCCGGTCAAATGTGTTTTCGACTACCTCTGGAACTGGTTGAAAGTGGACAAGCTCAAAATGTTTTAGACCCCGTTTACACCTGTATTTAGCATTGTCCACTTAATTCTTAATTCCAGGGGCCAGACCAGTTGCATAAAATTAGTCACTATGTTAAGACTGTATCTTAAGAACAAATAGTTAAATAAGAGTTAATCAGTCTTACTTTTCCAGTTCAAATTAAACTGATCTACTTTTTATGCAAGTTAAACCAGTCTTGACTAACTTTTAAGACTAGTCTAAGCAGTTTAAGTAACCAGGCCACAGATGTAGCCTAAACAGAACCTGAGAATGAGGCTGAAACACTTGAGACTATCAGCCTACTTGCTAGTAAGTTCCACACAGAACTGTAAAACATTTGCTGATAACATTTGATGCGGGTGTTTGTCACTAGCATGGATATTAACTTATTGCATGACCAACACAGGTATTAAAAATACCTGGTAAAAAAAAAAAAACAATACAGGTAAAAAAAAAAATCCTAGGAAAAAAAGATTGATAATTATAAATGTTTTTTTAAGCACCAAATCAGTATATTATATTAGATCTTGTGACACTGAAGAGTGGAGTTGGCTGCTGAAAGTTTGTTGTATTGCCATTACAGGAATTAATTATATGAGAATAATTAATTTTTTTTATTGTAAAACAAATGCAACAACAACAAATTAAATAGCTATTTTACACTATAATAATAAGAATAGAATAATTTGGATATAAATTGAATTATTCTGGATATAAATATTTAAATCCATTGATAATCCTCAAACCGTCTCTGAAGAGTCGCACTGTTCTGTTCTCTATATTCTATATATCCAACAGGCCATCAGATTTCATCAGTCTGACAGGCCAGACTCACTGAAGGAACGTGGCAGTGAGGTAATATGATTCTAGAGCGTGCTGGCATTAACACCTCTCGCTCTACTCTGAAAACAGATACTGTCTCCTTGAAAGAAAGCCCATCTGACCCAAAGCCAAAATCCTCCATCATCCGTTATAACATCATTTATTTGTGTAGTAACTCCACACCTGTACCAAGACCTATTATTTATTGTCATCAACAGCACTGAATGATTTTATGGAACAATTGATATTCAACTTAAGAACACGCATCAAGAGCAGTGAAGGTTATCTCTGTGACTGTGCTGCTGATACAGGTTACATACGGCCACCTCTGAGCTGAATTATATCACAGCATGCAGTGAACACTTATCTTTAAACAACACAGAGCAGCCAGCTGACTCGCAGCTTGTGATCGGAGGATATGATAAGATTGTCAATTGTGCTCCTAATAATGGAATGAAGACATGGATCACACATCCAGCCCTGGCTGGGATTGTCCTATAGGTGACTTGGCAACATAAAAAGGTAGGCTACATACAACAAACAAAGCCAAGCCAAAAATGTGTTGACACAGTGAAGCACATACAAAGTCTATGGGTCAACTGTCACACCCCCATATTTCACATTATGTACATTAGTCAACAAACACACATACATACGTATATTTAATCTAGAACATTAATTGAAACTGACTCCATAAACAAGTAATAAAGGTGATATGATGCTCTCCAAGTGAGGTAAAATGATTTGAGTCTGTTATAAAATATAAACATCTTAAGTGTAGCCTACAAGTTACACATACTATAGTCACTTTGTGTAAACTTTTGCAGCAAGGAACACAAGAATTGATGAATAATGGAAAACTCGCTCTTTATTTCATCTCCTTTACAAGCTCATCAAACTGTCAGAGTCCATTGAATATTCAAAAAGGAGGTTGATAAAATAAACCAGAACACCTAACAGTCAGTTTTATTAGCACATAAACACTTTTAATATGCCTAGTAAACAGCCGAGTGTGTCTAGAGTCCGAGACCATTTTCATCAATGACACAGGATCTTAATAATTCTCAACATAAACTATAGATGTCTTTAATATGACTGGTAAAATACATCATTCCCATTCACTTCCCTTAGGCAATTCAGTCGTAAAATAAAACGATAACGCCCTTTCCATGTCAGCTTTGATCCATGGTATCTCAGTAATCACACCAGAGAGAGTATGACGAGTTCGCGCTATCAGATTTCTGAACCTTCCCGAAGGCAACAATGCGACATTTGTGCCCTAATGGCTGTAATGAGGGTAGATGGGCAATGGCAGTCCATGTATCGATCAAAGAAACTTCTAGACAATTTCAACAGGTGGTTTAAATCCATAGTTTTGACCATATTAAACATGTAGCTTCATAATCACTATTACTTAAACCAAAACAACAGGACATCTTTCTCAAGACCTAAGTGAACTGCCACTTTTGGGCGTAGAAAGCGCTTGATGCCTACAAATGCTGTCTAGGTAGGCAGCTCATTAGGTTTTGAGAGACAGCCGTTGTATGAGCTTTGCGTGCCCTCAAAACTTATCAAACAGTGAAACACAGAACTTTTCAATCGTATAAACTGTCTATTGAATGTCTATAGAGCTTTATTTGATACAAACGAAAGTGTGTTTTAGGGCTATGCTGAATATTTGCATTGCTAACACAGCTAGCTGGCCACTTCCCGAAGTGCAGCGCTGCTTTCTTTCCCAGGCAACCTGTTGCAAACAACACTTAACTTACGCCGCGTTTTAACGGCCAAAACAACTTGAAAGTGTCGCTTATCTTACCTCTTCAGTAAGATGTGCCGTTCTTTTAGTCCAATTGATGTAAAAATACTCCAACAAAAGCGGTTTTGTTCACAGAATATCACATTAGATTGTTGTCATGTTGTGTGACGGGTCGCTGTGTCTAGAGACTCGAGTCTCAGTATTGTGTTAGTGTGAGACTGACGAAGAGCGGCTCAACAGCGCCTCCGGCACCTGCATGAGACGACGCTTCTGATTGGACAGATCCACCATGCTTAAACTCCACCGTCCAATCAGGTGTGGTTTTCCTTGAGAACGTAGAGTCGATACAAACCGGTCGGTTTCAATTGAACCGAGTTAAAGGATTGGAATTTTTAAGGCTTGTTCAGGTTTTAGATTGTTGTAACCACTTTCAATATTGTCGTTTTGGATCTACAATAATATTGTAGATCCAAAACGTTAAGTACAAAAAAAGCATAGATTGTCCACTGGCATTCAGGTATTCACTGAAAAAAATCATTTTTATTATTTTTTTTAATTTTTTTTAACAGTCTATGGTAATCACCTAACTTGACAAACCACTTTTTGCCTACTATATTGCCTAGTATGTCGATCTTTAATAATGATAAAAGTAAATAGCTTATATGTCAAGGCAGTCTCAAAAAATATATTATTGCATATTTATTAAGTACATATTTAAAAAAAAATATTAAAAAATATATATTTAGTAAATAATAAACATACATCATACATGGATGAAAATAAATGACAGATATGGAGAACTCAATCATCTTTCAGAGTTTATTTAAAAAAAGAAACTGAACCACGTCTTTACATAATGATCAAGAATTTTAATTCTCGCATTAGATCAGTATTACAGAAAATGATATTATAGTACAGAGTTTTTCAATATCTTTTCAATACCATAGTATATTCCTTAGGAGTGCTGGTCACTTGTCTGTACAATATCACTCTTGCATTTTTTTGACTGTACATTTTATGTAATTTGTTTAAAAAGGCTGTCAGCACTTAAATAAGCTGTCTTCATCTTCGAAGTTAACAAATAAAAGTTTCCAGGGAGCTCAGCCTCTAGGATTGGGCCGGGCGAGTTTAAATGTAAGGGTAGTGGGTAAAATAGAGAGTAATAAGGGCAGAGCTATGAGGGTCAGTTTATTATGAAGTATGTTTCAGACTGAGGTAGCCTGTAGCACAGGACATGCCTCCGTGTGTGCTGAAGTAGCACAGACTTTAGACAGACCCGCACCCGTCATCGTTTTGCGAAAACGATCCGTACAAAGTCTGTGACATCGGCGACACACGCTGCTTTTCGGCGTCATGACCACAAGACCCCCCCCACCCCCACAGCCCTGGCTTTTGGCACTGCGCACATAAACACGACTCACAAGATAAACGACAAGCAAAGCGGTTTTGTAAACCCTTTATGAAGCATAATGAAGTCTTTATGGAGCATATAATACTAAAGGGAAAGAAGCTGGGTCACCTTGGTGCACTTTGAGGAGAGATGAAAAGATCCAGCTCCCGTCGGGGATCCAAAGGGGTCCCCGCTGTCATTTTGAAGAGCTTTTCATTCCTCAGTGACACATTTTCTACCGATGAGAAAATAAGCTTTCTGATGTAAGTGTGACAGGCGCCAACAGCTGTCTATTAAAATGCTACGGCTATCTATAAGTTCTAGCATTGAACACACAAAGCAATTGCAATGAAAGAGAACAGAGTTGCTTAATATGATAATATTCATCATTATATTAATAATCATAATAATTATAACAATATATTACAGAATAAATCTCTTATATTTCATATATATATATATTTTATCACTTTAAAAGGTATAATATTTTCTGTCTTTGAAATACTATGTCTTCGAAGTCGTATTTTCATAAATTTCACATATTCGTCTGTTCGAAATGTTGATTATTCTGGATCAACTTCTCCCAAATCAATAAAAACTAGCTGTGCCGTTGCATATTACAGAATAGTAATGATATGTGGACATGCACCACTTTCTTGCTCTATACTTGGTCTGTCCCCTCAAGATGACATCATAGCCGTCCTATGACCATGACGTCCACGACTTCACCCTTGTGCAACTCCACGTATTGCTCTGTTTTCGGAGGCAACATCAGAAGGCCGTTGGCACTTCGCATGCTCATTAGCCGACTACTCATTTGGTTTCCTGAGAAACAGAGCAGGAAATTGCTATTTAGCGTACAGATAAGTTACTTATAGCATGTGTCTGTGAATATACACATAACTAATTATGTATACCTGTGCTCTGTGCCCAGGGAAGTGGTTCCTGGTGGTGCCATGTCAGTATACAGCGATGATATTCTGGACGTGGATCCAACTTTACATCACATGACAGCTGCAAAGAAAAGGACACACGCTGATGACATCCCAGAAGTACAGAAACACAATGCAAGGCACAAAGACTTGAGCTTTTGTGGCTGTGCTCACCCTGGCTTTGATGATGGTGGGCCGTGGGTCCAGTATCCCCTGCATCTTTCTTAATGCAGGAATGACAAAGAGGTTACAGGTTACAACAGCTGACACTGGGTTACCTGAGAGAGAAAGGAGAGATGACTGTTGAGGTGAAGACTATGGCTGTGCAGAATCTGAACTGTGGATCAGTAGTAGATAGGAAATCAGTTCTGTCTCCTGATAAAAGCATCACTGATGTCCATAAAGCAACAATTAAACCCCCCAAATTTAAATTCTGTCATTTATTTGCCCTCATGTCGTTCCAAACTAGCAGAATGATTGTGCTGCTCTTTTCCATTTATTTCATGTATACAATGATCAGTGGCTGTCAAGCTCTACAAACAACAAAACAGCATAAAGTCATGCAATAGCTTTGCAAGAGGAACTGACAGCAATTTGAATCATTATTTGCTGAAAATATACCAATATCTGCCATCTCAAATCTGTTGTAAACTGCATTCATACGTTTGGGTTTGGTAAGAGTTGGTTTATGTTTCTGAAATAAGTCTGTTATGCTCACCAAGGCTGCATTTATTTGATGAAAAAACACAGTAAAAAAAGTAATATTATCTATTTTAAAAAATGTAATGTATTCCTGAGATGGAAAACCTAAATTTTCAGCAGCCATCATATGGTTTATTCCTTATCATTAACTATGTCGAAAATGGTTGTGCTAAGAAATATTTTATTCGAAACTATATTAATATAAATACAGTTGTGGTCCGAATTAATGCCACCCTTTGGTAAATATGGGGAATCACATTATGAAATAAATGTTTTTTTCTCCAAAGCTGGCCACAATTATTGGCACCCCTAGATTTTTTTTACGCGTAAAATAAAAGTGTATTCCTATTAATATTAACCTTTTTTTTGTACACCAGGGTGACTAGGAACATGAACATGTCTAGCCATTACTTCTTGTTTCACAGGAGTTTAAATATGAGGAAACTCAGGCTAAATTCCCTTTATCATCCATCACAATGAGTAAAACCAAAGAATATAGTTCTGATGTGCATCAAAAGATTGTTGAGCATCACAAAACAGAAAGTGACTGTAGCTAAAGATTTGAAAATCACCATTCTGACCATCAAGGCAATAATTAAGAAGTTCCAATCAACTAAAGATGTTAGGAATCTACCAGGAAGAGGACGTGTGCCTATACTGTCTTAATCCACGTTGAGGAGGAGAGTTTGAGTGGCCTACGACTCTTCAAGGATCACAGATGGAGAATTGTAGAGATTACTTGAGTCTTGGGGTCAGAAGCCAACCCCCAATGCCAATGATTTTTTATCATATTTTCCCAGGGTGCCATTAATTCTCACCACAACTGTATATTATATATATAATATATGAAGAATACATGTCTTTTTCAGGATGCTTTGATTATTAGAAAGGTCAAAATAACAGCAATTTTTTTTTGAAATAGAAATCTTTTGTAATACTTAATATATCATTGCTGAATGAAAGTATATATTTCTTGTATACTTTAATTAAAATTAAAAGAACATAATAAAGATTTCACTAAGCTTCTTTTGTGTTCTTTGGAGAAAAGGAAAGTCATACGAGTTTGTGACGAGACGAGGGTGAGCAGATGATAACAAAATCTTAATTCCTGTGTCAACTGCCCATTTAAAGAGTCTTTTTTATGTCAGAGTTCAGTTTGTCAGGTTGGTGTGGAAGCTACACTCATGTTGATGATGAAAATGTACATGTAGATTTCAGGGCACACGCCAGTAATACTGGGTCTGGGGGAAGGAATTGAACTCTGGTTCGGACCAAACCAATCAAATAAAGTAACCCAAGACTCTCTGATAAGACAAATGTGTAGCACACTACTAACTAAATTCAGTCAAAGAAGAAGAGTGTGTCGAGTGCAGAGGTGCTGCACCACATCAACAGGAAGGGAAGAGGGGCATTGAAAGCAAAAGGAGGACAGGACTATTTCAGACAAATAGCAATTTCAAGACACTAAGCCACATCACGGTACACAAACGGAAGGGCTTTGAGAGGTTGCAAAAGAACTAATAACTACAAGGAGTGCCATGGACGCAAAAAAAAAAGAAAAAGCAAAAACACAAAGCTTCTCTCAGAAAACAGAACAGAAAGCGTCACATTGGAAAATCAGAACAAAAATATTAGTTCCTATGTTTCATTTCATTGTGTTTTTGGAGGTTGTTAGATTAGACAAGGATTTTCCATGTTTTGTTAACATCTTGTGTCCGTAATAATTATATCATACAGGTCCCAAATGAGCCCGAGTGCACTAAAAAGAGATTTCGTGTTAAATCCTGTTCTGATTTCGAAAACCAGTTAATTAGGGTTTTGTGTCAAAATTTCAAGTCCATTTCCGTTTTCTGAGCGCGGGCTGAAGACAGGGCTTATTTCCTGAATTAAGAGCACCTACTTCCTCGTGGGGGGGGAGGCACAGGCAGTCTGCTGGCCTCGCTGTCACTCAGGGGCACAGTCTCCAGAAGAGTCGCCCCTGTGTCTCTGTAGGTGAAATTACCTTTAAAGGGGAATATAGAAATTGCCACTGTCACCACTGCCTCGACCACCTGGTTTCTGAAGGCACAAGGTGGGAGCACAGTGGGCTCGGGAAGGGGGCAAGCCTGGGGAAGCTGATCGGGCCAGTGGGCAAGAAGGGAAATGTAGGTTTGCAGAAGGGTACATAAGTGGGCTGATTATATTTAATGGAGAAGGGACCATTTAGTTTGGAGATGGTACTATATAGATATGTAGGTTTATGTATGTACTTAGAAAAAGGGAAATTGTTCTAATTGGTACAATACATACATGCGGAAAATAGGAAACTCAGTCACCTGGGTTTGTGTGTGTACGTGTTCTCATTTGTGTTAAATGAGAACATTTTTCCTGTCAATACTTCTCTGTTCGCATGTTGAATAGATGGCGTATTGTACCTGGAAGGGCGAAGATCAGCTTTCTTGTACCGTCAATGTCTAAGGTGGCAAACGTAGTAGGCAAACTGAAACAGAAATAGAATAAAGCATTAATATTCGGAATTCCAGGAAAAAACTAATTCATTAAAAAAAGGATTATTATCACAAATTATTGCACGGCTCTCTAAAACACTTCATTCTGATTGATCAATCAGGGCATTCGTCGATCAGATGCACACTATAGACTCAAGCTCTTTCGTTTTATACTAACGCCACTGGCAAAGCATCTCAGTCATCAACTGTAGTGAAATCAAACTCAAATGAGATGAATGCCACAAATGACCAATCAGAATCAAGTATTCTAGAGAGCCATGCAATCAAAACTGGTGTTATTGTTAACTAAAACTATATATATAAAAAAAAAACAAGTACACAAGTCAACAAAATATATAACATTGTTCTAGTGGTTTTTGGATATTTGAATCCAAACATCTTACATATTTAAGCTGAAATAAAATAAAATATAAATGAAAAATAAAATGATGAAAACAGAAAAATTAGAAATGTTGACTATTTTATTTAACTGAAATAAAAATTCATTTCTATAAATAAATGGCTAAATGAATGTACTACTAAAATAAAAACACAACTGAAATAAAAATATATATTTTCTAAAACTAATAAAATGACAAAAGCACATTTACAGATTACTAAAGCAAAACCTGAAAAATGAAGCAAAAATAAAAGCAAATTAACAAATAAAAAACTATAGAACTATATAAATAATACTAAAAGATATAAATATACACTTATATATATAAATAAAAAACACTATATATATAAAAAAAAACACTTGTATGTGTTTTTCGGCAGTTTTATCCTAGAGCACAACCAAATGCCTGCCCTCACGTCAGTGCAGTAGACTTTAACTACCACTGCTTCCATCACTCACCCTGGCTTCATAAACACTCGACCGAAGTGGATCTGGGCATGGAGGTCTATATCCAGCACTTGCTTCAGGTAGTCCTGAGAAGGAAAAAAAGAAAAAGAAAACAGACGTTAGTGGCGTGTGCGTGTTTGCATTTCTCCTCTTATGTAGTACAACAACACATCTATCCCCGCCTGGTGAAGTGAAACATTGGGTAATTAAAGAGCTCTAATTAATAGGGCGGAAAATCAAGAGCAAGAGGCGGTCAGTGCACTGCTGCCTGGACAAAGACCCAAAATAAAAGGTCAGATTAACAAGTGTTGCTTTGTGGCAAAAAAAACAACAAAAAAAAACAAGCAGAAACACTAGATGGCAGTAAAACACATGGTGACCTGTGGCATGAGCTCTTAAAGGGTTAGTTCACCCCAAAATGAAAATTCTGAGTGAGACAGCTCTCAGATTTAATCAAAAATATCTTAATTTGTGTTCTGAAGATGAACGAAAGTCTTAAGGGGTTGGAACAACATGAGGGTGAGTAATTACTGGCAGAATTTTCATTTTGGGGTGAACTAACCCTTTAAAGTGTTTGGATCTGAGATCTCATGGCCAATGGAATCTTCTCCTTGACATGAAGCAGATTGATCTGTGAGGCCTCATTCCTTTATTGAAAAGCTCAGACATTTCAAGCATGTGACCTTGCCTACACTTCCAGACAACTCCAATCAACTGACCTTCTCACCCATGGACACTCCCCCGGAGGTGATGATGACATCAGCACGACTAATGCCCTCGTTTAGGGCGTTCAGCAGGTCGTCTGGGCTGAAGGGAGAGTTAGAAAACATGTTCATGCCAAAGGACTTCCATTTTCTCTTTGCCACATCCATTACTGGCATATTGGTAAAAAGTGTCAAATGTTTGCTTACGCCAGGTTCACACATACTTTATTTCCTGTCCCCTTGTTAACAGATTATAGCATTCACACCGCACACGGATGCGGTCCGGCAATGTGTTCCAGGAGTAGTGCGTATTGTTTCCGCACTGTCTATTAAAGTGACAGTGTATTGTTTGCATAAAAATAAACACAAGGCTTTTTGCCCAGAGTAAAGTAAGGGAAACTACACCTTACCTCATCTTTAGATTAACAAGTCTCTTTGTGGAGGTGGAAAAACAAAGCTCTTTATGGCCCGCATTTCTTGTATGTAGATTTAAATCCCAAAAAACAGGCATGAGAGTCGGCTGATTAGTCAAAGTGCAAGTTTTACTTTAAAATGTTTCTTTAAAAGAAAAGTATGTTTAAATGTTATCCCACTTTCTTGAGCAACCTAATATATAAAACTAGAAGTAATGGATCGAATAATAGATTGTTTAAAAACGTGAACCAGTTTATGAAACATTGCATAACTGTAATGTGTACAAAGAGAATCACAAACGTCTTGATTAGAAATAAAAATTACGAATAAATGTTGTGTGTGTGGTATACAGAATAGGATCAGTTGCACACTGCAAACATGTCATATGTGAAAGCACATGAACCCGTGCTGCTTTTACACTGCGTACTGCAAACGGAGTGTGTGTGAACCCGGCGTTACACTGTCGCTAGTGCAAATTGAATGCAAGAAATAACCTGAATTTAATATTGTTTTATTCATCAAGGAAACATTTAATTGATCAAAAGTGACAGTAAAGACGTTTACATTGTTGCAAAAGATTTATTTGAATCTTTTTTACATCGTCACAAAAGATTCAAATAAATGTTGTTCTTTTGAAATTTGTATTCATGTAAGAATCCTGAAAAAAAGCATGTATTACAGTTTCCACAAAAAAAATATTAAGCAGCACAACTGTTTTTAGTATTGATGATAAGAAATGTGTCTTTAAAAACAAATCAGCATAATAAAATGATTTCTGAAGGATCATTCTGAAAATAGGAGCAATGGCTGCTTTGTCATCACAGGAATAAATTACTTTTTAAATTATATCAAAAGAGTAAAGTTATTTTAAATTGCAATAATATTTCACAATATTACAGTTTTACTGTATTTTTGATCAAATAAATGCAGCCTTGATGAGCATAAATCTTACTGACCAAACCCTACTTTTTTTTTTTTTTTGGATGGACTTCATTGGATATGTCAGCAGAATTACATAAAGCAATACATAATACATTTCAAAATACACAATATCTTTTTTTTTATATTTTATATTTATACTAAATGCATTAAATACTTTAGTCAAACTCGTTTTTAATCACTTATCACAGCAACTTTCAATTTAAACCTATTTGTAGTTGCTCTTTATACATGTTTTTGTAAACATCCATACAGAATATGTATGAGAACACAAATAATGGTGGAAAAATACTTCAGAGGACTGCAGGAAGTGCTGTCGTTCGATAAATTCTGCTGAGACGTTGTATGATCCTGTATCGATTCTAAAATATGAGCTGGAGTTTCAGAGGAGTGCTGAGGATGGAAATATTTAGATATGTGCAAAGCTGACTGTGTGAGTGTGTGTGCGTGTGCGTGTGTGTGGGCGGTAAAGGAGGGATGCTGACTTGTCTCCGACGATGCCGAGGTTGATGGTGGGATAGCCGTGCTCCTGAATGGTGGCCAACAGTGTGGATCGGTTACTGTCCCTGATCTTGCCTGGGTGGAGGTCATCCTCAGGGTTCAACAACTGCACACACAAGCATTTATAAACACGTTCAAACTCATTTTTAATGACCATGAGCAAAAGAGTGCAACAAAGCAAGCCCTACCTCATTGCCAGTGGACATGACTGCTACAACTGGGAATTTCTGCACCTCCACCTCTGTGACTCCTACAGTGGCCAAGAGGCCGATCTCAGATGGACCCATGTGAGTGCCTTTAGCCAACACACACTCTCCACGCTTGATATCATGACCTATAGGCCTGTGTGTGATACAAGCAAGTGACTAGACTATAACATCAGCCTTTAAAATACCAGTTTATATTATTCTAAACAAATGAGCCTGATTAAGAATATTCACATCAAGCATCAAACATGATATATGTACACACACACTACCGTTTTTTTTTTGTTTAAGAAATTAATACTTTTATTCAGCATGGGTGCATTAAATTGAATAAAATAAAATATTATTTAATAAAATCTTATTTAAATAAATGGCGATTTATTAATGGAGATATAATGGAGATATATTTTAAAATATATCCAAATAAAAAAACAGTTATTAGGAGGTTAGTTAAAAGGTTAAAATTAACAATAAAAGGTTTTTGATAAACCCAACAGTTCTAATAAATAAATAAATAAATAAATAAATAAATAAATGAATTCAACAAAATAAAAATGGATGTGAGAATATATATCTCTCCGCAACACTTGAACGTATAGAGACTTGCTACATGTCATCACAAGCATGAACTGAGTCTATCTGCAGCGTTTAGCTACTGGTCAAGAGATATTAAAAAAATAGCTATTTTTTGCTTATAACTTCTGAATGGTTTGCCAAAAAATCAACGTCTGATTCAGTTGAGTAAAAGATCGAACAATATCCAATTTTCCTATATCACCTATTTTGCATGCCGACCATTTTTAATTTTTACGTAAAATGCTCTATTTTATAAATGCATTGTCGAATCGATACTTACACAGGAAGTGTCATCGGGACTGTGCCCGGAAGGTACTCAAAACATTTTATTGGTAAGCAGGCATTAAATTGTATTGCTAGTGATCGTATTTATGCTCTTTCAAACATTTTCATGTTGTTGTTTTTTTTTTTAAATGCAGAGGCTCTGTTCTTTCTTTAGATATATTGCATGTTCAAATATTCTTACAACAAAATGTTATGGTAAGTATTAGGTTTAAAAAAAATCTCTTTTTCTTGAGGAAGCAAACTACAGTCCAACTCACCTGATATCCTGTCCTGGACGGGCCTGAACCAGGATCCTCACTTCCAGCTCCTCTGTACCCTGTCAATCATAACCAACCCATAACCAGACACCTGTACACTAATGAAAGACACTGGACTTTCAATTATATGCACTTTTTAGACACTTTTTAGAAGGTTGTATGTGTTGTGTTTCATCCTAATTAAAACCATTACACAAAACATTTTTCCTTAAATATTTACTTTAAAAATCCTCCTGTATAATTTACTGTAATTATATAGTTGTAGATTAATTGTGTTTTTTTATTTTATTTTTTATAAATATATTTGGTTGTTTTTTTTTCTTCTTCTTATTGTCTTTGAACACTTTGATGCATGTTTCACTTTCGGGTCAAAATACGTGAAAATCGTCGAAAGAAAGTAGCTAATACTAACAAAATGGGCAGCATCCTCAAAAGGTAGAAATTACTCAAAATTAACCATATCCCTAAAAATAAAAGCTTTTGTAGTTATATAATACTTTTACATTTACATTTATTCATTTAGCTGACGCTTTTATCCAAAGCGACTTACAATTGCTATATATGTCAGAGGTCGCACGCCTCTGGAGCAACTAGGGGTTAAGTGTCTTGCTCAGGGACACATTGGTGTCTCACAGTGGATTTGAACCCGGGTCTCTCACAGCAAAGGCATGTGTCTTCTCCACTGCGCCATCACCACCCTTACTATTACGTTTATGAAAACTTACTTTTATGAGTAAGTTAAAAGTTATTTATTACAAGTTTCTATTTCTTTATTTACATTTATTTAGAAATATTATATATTCATTATTGTGCTTGAGAATGTGATATACTTACGTCTTCAGACTCTCGTAGCAGTTCTGTGTCTTCTACTTGCACTACAGCGTCTGCACCACATGGGATAGGAGCACCTGTCGTCACCCTCATCACCTGGCCTGGCATAACTGTGAGAGTGGGCTACACACAGAAAAAGACCCTTCACCACTGTATAAAAATAAACATACATGTGTACAGCTTTGGTGTGGAAGCAAAACACTGATGTTTTGTCCTTCTGATACTGGGTTAAATACAATTGCATAGTACATTGCTATATGTATGGCATCAGCTGAGAAAGCAACAGTACAACAGAATGACCCAAGACACAAATGCAAACACACACACACGCACTGTGTGGACGTCAGCCGTGAGCACTGGAGTGCTGGCCTGCACTCTTCTGCACACAGCCCACAGGGATCACCCCCTTCTCTCTCTCTGTGTAACGCACTCATTAAACATGCTCACTGATTCTGAGTTTTCTTGCCATCTGAGCACACAAGTCTCCTGCAGATGCAAGGAACCAGTGCAAAAGCAGGCATTTCCAGGGTATGTGTAAGGAAGAGAAACTCAGCATCTTCACATTAGGTTTTCATGGCACAACAGAGCAAGAAGAGTGTTAGCTTAACTCACCTGCTCCCCAGCCTGAGACTCCCCGATGATGAAGCGATCACCAGGGCCATCAGCAGCTGAAAAACAATAACAGGAATAACTCACAGAGTTAATTTCAGCAGGTTTAAAGGTTTGGTGAATGAGATTTTTAATGGTAATAAGGTTAAGAATAAGGTTGTTATACCTTATTAAGATTATTATGATAAAGTATTATGGGTAAAAGGGAAATAATCATAAGTTCTAATGAATATGTCAATTACACATTTTTTATTGGCACAGTGCAGGTGCCAATTTGGCCCTGTTCCAAAAGGTGAAAAATCTGCTCTTTAAACTTGGTCAACTTGTTGTTGAACTACAAACATCATATATGTTAAATTATGTATATAGATTTGATTTGTTGATGTATCTACCTCGTACATATACATTTAATGGTGGTATAAAATTACCTTGGATGTTAAAACTTTCTCAAAATGTTTGTTTGGGCAATGTCAAGTACCCTGAACACTAAATGTGCAAATGTATGTTTATGGGCAGGTTCTATTACATAATCAGTTATGTGATCGCTCTGCTCTTAAGTCAGTATAAATGAGGTACAGACTGAGAGAGGTTGGAAAATCTCCAGACCGAGCACAGTTCTAGCAAAAGCAACATTTGGGTGGAAAAGGGGTAAACGAGACTGATTGTGATTGTGTGAATTTGGCAGAAACTGGTAATCACCTCGAACAGCATAGCCGTCTTTAACTGACGCAGGGAAAGGAGGCAGGTTGTCTTTGGCGTAGACGTCCTGAGCCAGAACTCGACCCATTCCATCTACAAACAAAAAAAAAAAAATCTGATGAACTCATACAATCATAAATACAACATCAAAGAAGGATAACTTCCTTGTAAAATGTGCCTAGATCAGAGCACAGCAAAAGAATGCAAATGCATGAGAAAGCAAATGCACACATGCAGCAGGACAACAGACATGAACAGAGTGACGTACAAACAAGAACAGTGCATATTATGATGTACACTCTCTTAACTATTTTAATAATACAAAGAATGTATTTTATTAACTACCAGCTAAACATTTCATGTTATATGTTTATTCCGGTAGCCTGCAAGCTAACAGGTTAGCATATTAGCTTAGCATACTGCTAATTGACAAACTTGTAGCTAATTGACAAACCTGCTAGCCTCGTACATACACTCGCAAAAATTATACACCATTATTTGTTGTAGCTAGCACTGCTACAAAATAACCCATAATAGTGAAATAACATCCCTAAGTCTTGAAAATCTTATATAAAGTAGTTTTTTTTTCTCTTCAAATCATCTTAAATGACTGAAAAATTCCTCTAATTGAGAAATCAGCCATCATTTCAGTGAATCAAACTAACTAGTTTGTATACTATCATAGCATACTGCCAGTCGTTGAGGCTACTAACTTTTAGAGCCCGACCGATAAAGTTTTTTAAAGGCCGATACCGAGACAAATATTTTTGAGTTTTAAAATCCGATATTCCGATATATCGGCCGATATTGTATTTATTTATTTTTTTAAACTGGACATGATAGTCACACATTTTTTCATGCTTATTTGAGTTAAGAGAACTGACGGGGATGTTCTTTTAATTGTTATTCAAGCAATGTATGTATCGTGCCCAACTCAACGAGTGTTGCCAACAAGAACGGTGTAGAGTGCCCTCTGGTGGACAAACTATACTAACTGAAATATTCATTTATCGGCCATTATAACTGCCGATACCGATAGTTTGGAAAATGCCTAATATCGGCCGATAATATCGGTCTGCCGATATATCGGTCTGGCTCTACTAACTTTGTATTCAGCTAGTCAATAAGCTAGCTAGCTTAGCGTACTGCTAACTGCTACCCTTGCAGATTTGAAGCTAGCATAACCCAAAAAAAGATATTTTGATTATTTAAAAGAATATCTTTAATTTGAAAAAGTTATTTTCATTACCTAGAAGATTATTTTTTTTAATAACGGGCACTACAAGAGGGGTGCATCTCAATCAGTTCCCTAGTTCAATAGTCAGGGCACTGATCAGGAAGCCAGCCATTTCAAGCAATGTGTAATAATAGTAGTAGTAATATGTACAATACTTTTCATAAAGAACTTTGTCAGTGGTCAACTAACATGAAAGCACACAAATTCACACATAGCCTAAATTAAGTTGTAGGAAAGATGGATGCGAGTGTTCCCTGAAACACAGATGTGACATTTCCTCTGAACACCAAACATACACACTTACACTCACACACAAAGCCTGAGATCTCTTGGGGGAGCAACAAGCGCCCTCCCACACATGAAACGAAGAAGAGAAAAGAGAGATGACAGACAGAGAGGAAGAAAGAGGGGAAGGAATAAAGAATCAGGGAGAGCCAGAAGGAGAGAGAGAGAGAGAGAGATAAAAAGAGACAGAAAAAGAAAGAATGAGAGAGTGCAAAGGTGCTCTTGTAGAGATAAAGCAGGAGAATGAGAAAGGGAGAGCGAGCTGATGCTAATGAGGCCTCTCCTCGGTTGGAGGCTGATTAGAAAAGACTTATTTCTCTAAAACAGCACATCTGACGAGGCTCTAAATATAGCGCGTCTGGATTGGGAGATCAAACAGATGGGGTCTGTGTTATCTACACACAGAGATGAGTACTCAAGCGCGCATCACAGAGCCCTGACAACCCAGTCACCGTGAAACTGCAATGATTCCCTGCAGCTACAATACAACAAGCCCAGATCAACTCAACACAGCCGAGCACAGGCCCGTAAACAGACCACATGTAAGCCAGGAGTCCATACCAAATGCTGTCGTCTTGAAATGAACACTAAAACAGTGCTCCCAAAACTTAAGTTAAAGTTATCTTTGACTCAATTAACATAACATTTATGATTTATTTTTTATATAATACTAATAAGCTTGGGAAAGACACTTAATAAACTTCTCGTAACTTCTAACCAAAAGAAAATTTGGGGGAAAAACTTGGTTGCTCTCTAAAGAGCAGTATTGAGGATATTTATAATATATTGTACACATAAATTCCATATATTATAAATAGAAAATATGATATGAGAATATTACAATATGTATACATGCATGTACATATACATTTTAATCTATCCTTTAAAACTAGAATGATTAGTTGATTTTTCTAATTATATAGTTTTTACTCTTTAAAATCATGAAGAATCAGCCATAATATCAGCCAATCATACACTATAGTTCAAAAGTTTGGGGTCAGTGAGATTTATTTATTTATTTATTTGAAAGAGACTATCAAAGAATTCTAAAAATATGCATCACAGTTTCCACAAAAAATATTAAGGAACACAACTGTTTCCAATTGATAACTACAAGAAATGCTTCTTGAGCACCAAATCTTTAAAAACTGGAGTAATGGCTGCTACAAATTAATCTAATTAAATTAGTTACTTAAAAAATATACTAAAATTGACATTGTAAATTGTAATTCACATTTTTTCTGAATCTTGGTCAAATTACATTTACATTTATTCATTTATCTTACGCCTTTTATCCAAAGCGACTTACAATTGCTATATATGTCAGAGGTCGCACACCTCTGGAGCAACTAGGGGTTAAGTGTCTTGCTCAGGGACACATTGGGGTCTCACAGTGGATTCGAACCCTTGTTTTGTTTTCAAACCTTACCAACACCAAACTTTTGAATAGTGGTGTATGTCGGCATAGTATAATATGTAGACAGCAATATCTGCAAACCTATTGGTTATTGGTAATTTATATCGGTCCATTAGAAACTCTTATACATCAAAATCCAGCAGAACAGGCTCTCACCTCAGCATACTCTAAATAGCCAATCTTCTCCAAGGCTGAGACCATTTATACATTTTAAATTCATTTTATTAACCGAGGTGACAGAAAGAGGTTTTAAAACAGACAGCCGCTCATAACTTACACCCATCTCGTTGTATGAACAACGCATTTCCAAAATTTATGAGTGACATTACTTGGCTGGGTGAGGATATTTCCTCTATTTACGCTGATCTGGACCTGCCCTCCTTGCGCTCGCACTGAGCTGAAAATCAATCACTTTTATCTGTCAGGAAACAGTGAAGCTCTACACACAGTTACTGATAGATTGAAGGCACAATGTTTGAGGGTTTTGTGAAAAGAGGTGATGTCGGAAAAGCTTGCGTATTGAATGTTTGCTTTAAGTTGTTTTTATTTTTACTGTTGGATTTGTATGCAAGCACACTGAAACATCTACCCATTCCGTTCACTGGCTTCAATAGCAGCAGTCATTGACAAATGGTCTAGTTCGCAAAATGACAACAAAGCTCTTCAAAACTAGGCCATTCTTCATGGATAAAACAAACAGATACAGTCAAACATGGAACATGATTCCGTTGACTATGTATGACAACCATGCCATGTCCAAATCAGTGGAACAAGCTAAAGGAAAACAAAAGATTCCAGCGAGTCACTTGCTTCTCATGAGCTGAATCCCAATTTGATATACTATCCGTAATAGTGTCACATTAAAGTAGTATGTCAAAAGGTACTCAAATGGCATTCTATTTCTGATTGGATGGATCATTCCATGCAATGCAAGTGGATTTGTTTGCAATGACTCACTGATGTAACATCAAGACACCATTTTGGACTGGTTTACTTCATACTTACGAGTATACAATCAATGTCTAAAATGTCCATATTATACTTTGCATACAAGTATACAAAAGTATGCAAATTGTGATTCAGCAACACTCAGCTCAGTCCTTGACATGAGATTCTTTTTCCACCCTCTCGTCAGTGGCAGCAAACAACTCTCAGCCGCCCCCTGCTGGTCTGGAGGTGAAATGGCACTGAGGCATGGATGACTATTCCACACATTACTGGGGCCGGATGAGCATCAGGCATGCTCGAAGGTGTGCGCCGGACATGAAGGTGCTGGGTAAGGTGCTCACTGACCTGCGTCAAACTTTGGGGCTTGTGCGGCACTGGCCAGGGCTATAGTCTCTGCCTCTGCTTCGGCGCCAGTGCAGAGAGGAATTTTCCGCCAACTTGAGCCAGTCTGGCGCCAGATGCCTTTTCGTGCTGGAGGGGCCAAGTCATCTGCATTGGGCCCTGCCAGACGCATTGGGCACATTACACTACCACATGGGCAATCCCACTATCCCCCACGACATTAACGCCCAGCTCAGACCTGTGACTTGGTGGCACAATTCACATCCACATGCAAGGTTGGCTGCTCTGTGTTAGTGATGGCCATGAAAAATAAAAACGGAGCCATCAAAAAGAATAGCATGGGCTAAACTAAACAGCTTTAGGTGCACTGATCATAAAGTACATCCCGTAGTTTTTTTGTTTGTTTGTTTGTTTAATATAACCAGTGGGACTGGACCGCTCCGGATGTTCATGTGAATTGAGTAACATAGTTTTTCCAAAATTCACAAAGAAAGCCTTTACGGTTGGATTTGTGTGCAAACTGATCACAGGATCTCTCTTCAGATGATCACAATGGCATCAAAGCTCCAGAGAAGGTCAGCGAGTTAAAAAACAACAGAGGACGGCGGATGGGACGAGCGACAAGATTAAAGCTAGAAAGATGGAGAGATGATGGGGTGAAAGAAAGAATAAACAGATGTGTGACAGATGAGGAGCTACAGGCAGGAAAGATGAAAAAGCTAAAGCCGAAAGCCTGCAAAGCAAAAAGCTTGGTGACTATATGCCTTCAGCACTTACTGGCCTATATACACCACAGTCAAACAGCCAATGAGAACACAGTTTGGTATCATAAGAGGGACAGTACTACAAGTTAAAAGGATAGCCCACAAACAATGAAAATTCTTTTATCGTTCATTCATCCTTGCGTCTTTCAAAATCCATTTGACTTTCCTTCTTCCGTGGAGAACAAAAGAACTTATTCATGACAGCATGTTTCTATGACAAAATGCTCTTTACAATAATGAAAGTAGTCATATGGAATACTTTTAAGATGTCTTCAAATTACATAGCATGAAAAAGAGTAACAAGAACATTCTTCAAAACAACTTACTGTGTGTTCCATAGAAGAAAGAAAGTCATATGGATTTGTAACAACATAAGGGTGAATAAATGATGACAATAATGCTGGTTTTTGGGTGAACTATCCCTTTAAGGCTTAATCACAACATTTTTTTTGAATGAGTCTGAATTATAAATACTAAAATATGCATGACAGCATTTTTTTTTTAAATGAAACAATTCATCCTTGTGAACTCCATGCAGAGTCTGAAACACCATACTGCAATGATCCATTGTTGTTTTTTAATTCTGTTCTGTTCATTTTTACTGGTTGTAGAACAAATTATACGGCAATCAACAAAAAAAAAAAAAAAAAATCAGAAAATGACGTAAACAGAAATAGTTTTGACTTTTTTTTTTACGATAAGTTTGTAAAATGCCAGCAGTTTATAATTATATTATAATAATAATACTAGTAAAATATCATGTTTCTCAATACCAATTTCAATGAAAAAATAAAAAATAAAAAATGCTAGAGAATACAAAAAAATTGTGTTTTAAGGTAAACATATATACTATATATAAACACACTTTGCTGTTCATGTCTGATTTCTGAGGACTCATAACAGCTACTAAAGTTCTTTAGCCAAGAGCAGGCTCCTTCTTGTTTATATTGTTGTTTGATTATTAATGACAGTTGCAGACACTGCAAGTCCTAATCCACATATTTCATATTTGATTTGATCACATTTTTGCCCCACCTGTCCACGCTCACCAATATCTCACCAAGATTGATCAATGACAGTTGCGTGTCTAATAGGCTGAATTTACACTGCAAGTCCTAATGCACAAATTTCATATTTTGATTTGATCACGTTTACCATTTCACCAAGATTTATCATTTTAAAATACTTTACAAAATAAAATATAAAATACTTTTTAAAATACTGTCATATTTTTGACACCCCTAGTTTGCGAATATATTCTCACAAGTGGTTTAACTTTGTGCGATCAGGCATTTGGCGTAGTTTAGGGTTGGTATGCGCAAACAAAGAGCTTACCTCTGTAGTTGATGATTTCGGTACCCAGGACAGGAGTCATCTCTAGCACAGTGATGAAGGCCTTGTCCATAGAAGTGAGGGGAAACGGGGACATGCGGTGTCTCCGAGCTACCTTGGTGATGTCCACTGCACTGTGACCTGATACAAAGAGTGAGAATTTACACATGCTCTCAAACGCGCGTGCACAAACATCACTGATAATGGACAATCGGTCACCCACTTGCTCTCAGGATGTTCTCCTTGCTGCTGCATCGTGACTGCACCTACAGATATAGAGAGAGAGACGGAATGAGAGGGAATGAGGAGGAGAGAGAGAAAGGAATTGGGAAAAGAAAGACAGAAAGACATGAAGAGAGTTAGCGCACAAAAGGAGCCCCATCCTCCGTCCAGGAGAGTTAGCATTCCACTGACAGGGTTCATAAAGATCAGAATGAGCATCTACACATTCAGACAAAACAACCAAAATAAACTAGCTTGAAAACAAACAAACAAACAAACTGAAAATAACATTTTCAGTCCTACTGCCATTATTATCATTATCATCATGGACTTAATGCTGAAAATGCTTAATGCATGGACTGCAAGGCTGAAAATTTAAGTGTTATGTCATGTTAGCACTATGGTGCCCAAACCAACCCGGTTCCAGAATCGTATTTTATATAACAGACATTAAAGTCAACATGAAACATTTTAGTCCTGTGCATTTTAGAGATGCAGTTGTAGGCATTTCCTATCTAAACATTGATGTTTGATTGGACCCACACAAAACATTATTGTACAGCTTCTGACATAAAATACTACTTTTATGGCACCTTTATAGTTTTTAATTTGTCATTTTACTGCTCAAGTAATGCCACGTGAAAAAAAATGTAGAACTTGCTTTTATCCATCACAAATTGATTTGATCGTGAAAATTGGGCGTACAAAAAACAAAATGGGGTTTCTATCTGCTTTTTGACTGGAACTTGAGGTTAAAGGTCAAGTTTAGCCTTAAAAGCATTTCGACTTATCCCATTGATGATTCCTCTTTTTCAAATCCAATGCTATTTGATATCATTCATGTAATATTTTTAAAAAGTTTAGTTTCCTACAACATTAGCCTAGATGTGGCCTACTTGATGTCAGATAAGAACAGTCATTATTCATTATGTACATATCTATTAAAATAAACATTTATTTAAAAAAAAAAAAACAGTCTCAATTTCAAGTTGACTTTAACAGCTAGGAAGCTCCATAAAATAACACCTCAAACACTCCCTCCCATTCAGTTCAATTTTGACCCCTTTTAATTTCTCTCAAAATTAGCCATGAATGTTTTAAGATAATAATAATAATAGCAAATCTGATTATACATTCAGCTGTAACTGTGGAATCTACCAATACAAAGTATCATAAAGTATGGAGTTCCCTTAGGCCAAGAGTAATGGTATGGGAGGGCAATCAAATTCCATGCAAAAATACACATTGACTTGAGGCTATAGTGGCTGAAGTCTATAGATATTACGTTTTTGATTTACTGCATGAAAGCGTTAAAACAGCCCTTTATGTGTCCTTCGTGCTGAGACGCAATGCCCCTGGCCTATAGGGGGAGACACACAAGCAAGTCCCAAATCCTTTCTACTCACGATCCAGTTACAACAGACTAGCACCAACACGACAAATCAATGATCGACACAGAGCAGAGAGAGAGAGAGAGAGAGTTAAAGAAAGACAGGAAGAGGAAGAAAACAATGAGGCGCAGCTCACATACAGCAAACAGCAATAAAACACTGCATCTAAATGGAGATAAAACTTAAAAGGAACAGAAAAACAGGAGAAAAAAGATCTAAGAAACAGAACTCAATGTCCACAAGAGACTCCAACACACCAAACGGCTAATAAAACAAAGAGAGCATTAGAAAGAGCAACGTCTACAGACAAGATAATGAGAAAGAGAGGAAAGAAACAAGACAGGGAGAGAGAGAGAGAGAGAGAGAGAGAGAGAGAGAGAAGAAGAGTGTAAAGCAAGGAGTTTGGACTCCTGACGCAAAGCAGAGTTTGCGGATGGAAGCAGCTCCTTTTTTTTTGCGTGGGTTGGGAATAGTTACTCGCGAGTCGAAGGTCCTATGGTTCCTGCGATCATCTTTGAGCCCCTCCAGCCTAGAGTGGAGCTTTGGCAATGAACAGAAACAAAAGGGTTTACAACAGACAGAGCAAAGGAGAAGTTTTGGGAGACCAAAAAAAGAAAACCGAATGAGTTTTAAAGGCTCTCTGAGACAGCGCTCGCTCAGTTTACACACAACAAGCTGAGATGACAACGAATGAGCACTGAGAGGTGAAGAGAGATCTGACTGGACGTCATTCGCTCCTGTTGCTAATGTTTAGGTGGGCGTTATGCCGGCCAGCCAGGAAGGTTGCACAGGTTAGCGAGGAAGAGGGGTGCGGTGAGGCACAATGTCACTCGGCACGCACAGTTAGGGAAATCACATGGCACATACGGCACTTTTGTTCCAGTGAGATTTCAGAGGACACCGGAAAAAGACAGTGGTGTTGATTATCAGTGTGCTAATGGCCACCAGAACAGTTCAGAGTTTGTGTAATAGATTCGTATGATTGGATGTCTGTATGGATGGATGGATGGATGATTTAGTTTCATTTGTTTTCTTTCTTTTCATGAAGTACTAAATGCACTAAAACAAAAATACGGGCAAGTTTAAGATAATTTGTCATAATTCAAGATACATTTAATTTACTGATAGCCCTGTTTAAACTTACTGTAATAATACATTATGATCATTATTTCATAGATCCTAGAAAACCATACAACTAGAGTTATTGCACATGAATGAATGGAAAACACACAAAAAAAGCAGTTCAAAGTTTGAGGTTAATCAAGTAAACTAAAAAAATTACTATAAAATTAACTGTGATTAAATTGCCTCCCCGCATATACTTTAGGTATAATAGTACATTATGATTATTATTTATTAGATTACAAGTTATGGTGTAAGTTATTTAGTTATTTTTAGATATTTACCAGAGAGTCTGGTAAAATGCTGAATAAAATATCAGGCCATAACTCAATGAATTGTAAGATGATTAAATTAAATAATTATTTTTAAAAAGTTAATGCACTAAAATAACATTAAAAGGGCTCAATCAATTATTTTCTTAAATAAAAATAAATTAAAAAAGCAAATAAAATAAACCTGGTCTTCCCTTAAAAATCCAGTAGTATTAGTTGTATTTAAAAAATGGGACAGTTTAACTACAGTATATCAAACACAACAATGCAGATCCAAGACTGGTCGCATCCCATTAACCAGCAATCTTTAACCAAATCCTGTACAGGCAAGGAAGACTGTACATCTGTGGTACCTTTTTATTCTTCCCCTCCTCCTATTTGTACATCTAACATCCTTTCATCAAAAAAAAAAACAGACAGCATGAGCTCATAGTGAAGATGAGGGGTAACCAATGATCACAGGACGGTTGAAGGAATGGATGGAGGCAATGAAAGCAATGCAGCGATGTCAGGTCTCTTTAAATCAGAGCGGGACCAAAGAACTTAGTGGACTGAAAACACACTCTCACAAACAGACACGTCCTCACACACACACATAGGGTGGGGAAAGATGTGTCAGCATACGGGGAAGATGAGAGTTAATCCCTGACCAGTGAAATGAAGATGGAGTAATTGGGAAATAGCAATGGGGAATGAATTATTAACAAGAGAGTGTCAGGCCCAATAAGAGGAACTCCGCTCTGTGATTAACCAATCAGAAATGATTGATAAGACAGTATGGAAACTAACAGCTGTAATGCTGGTGAGCCATTTTATTAGCTCGGAAAGAGGGATGAAGAAAGTGAGAGAGAGAGAGAGAGAGAGAGAGAGAGAGAGAGAGAGAGAGAGATGCTGTATTCCAAAACTTAGTGAGCTGCCTAACTAGACAGTATTTTAAGGCATCATTGTCACACTCCTGACATGAAAGTTAATCCAAAAAGGTAGGCAGAATAATTATATAGGGCAATTAATTGATTAAAAACAATAGTCCATCTGATTAATCTCGAACTTTGAATTTACATAAATTTCGCATCTTATTTTATTTTATAGTATATTGTATTGTTTTGTTTTATATATATTTTTTTGGTATCAGTGTTTTTTTTTTTTTAAAAGAGAACCTATATTGCCTTTTTCTAAAATCTTTCATTTGTTTTGGGGGTCTACTAGAACAGGTTTTCATGCTTGAATATTAAACACATTATTTTTCAGATATATTTACGTTGTTGCAGTACCTCTCTTCCCAGTCTGTCAGTAACACTCTGTTTAGTTCCTGTCTCTATGAAGCCCTTCCTTACGAAAAACGCAATGTGTTCGGATTGGTGGGCTGGACCAGTGTGTTGTGATTGATCAACAACTTCAAGCATTTTTTGGAAATTTCACGCCCCTCAACATAACTGAGTTTCAACCATAGACTGTAAAAAAAATATGGACCGTCCTCACCCGTAGGTTTCTGAAGAACATTTATAAAGCCCGAAGTGGATGGAGCTGGCCTTCGCCATCTTGGTAACTTGTCACTACCAACCAAGTCAACGAAAATGGGCAAACAATAGCTGAGGTGATAGACGGCAGGGCTAACAGACAGCAGACAAACGTCTATAAATTACAGCAGCGGCAATCCACCTGTCACTCAAGTGGCCACGCCCTTAATTATGCAGAACTTTAAGACTTAATATTATTTAAATGGATGAGTTACACAAAAATTCACCCTCCTCAAAGTTGTCATGAAGGAAAAAATTAGCTGTAGACAAAAAAACACTTTTTGCACCAGACTGTAAAAACGTTTTTGGGATCGACTCTCTTCTGCAGCCTGTCCCTAGCGGTCAGTCGATGAATTGCAGTTTAAGTCAGTTCCGTGTTGGTTTCAGGAGAGAGACAGGAATGTTGCCGCTTAGTTAATTCAAACAGGCCTCACCCCTTTATTTTGCATGCGTCTTGGGCGGGAATAATTTAAATGAGGAATGTTGTGACATGTTCTTTCCCGGAAAAAAAAACTCAAGACTACAATCAAAGCGTTTCAGGGAGTTCAGAAACAGCGCTTACTAAAATCAAGAATAACTCCCTTTTTAAGTTGTGCTTTGTAACTTCAGACCTTTTTTTCATGCGCAAACTGCAACATTAAACTCTAAAAAAAATTTAAAAACGTATAACAGGTCCTCTTTAAGAAATGAAACCATTAGCTATATTTAACTGCATTAAATTGGGAATTTAAAATTGTAGCCAAATTGTTAGAAGCGAGTATGCAGAAATACCAAAAATGCATTGCAACAAACAATCAAAAATTGCACACAAGTCAAGAAAGATGTTAATTATAAATATATTTAATTAAATAGCAAAAAAAAAAAAAAAAATAGTGAATCGATTATCCTTTGCTCTTCATGTGAGGAGCGCTAAGATAGCCATCTTTGTAATCGGTAAAGCAAGGTAGTTGACTAGGTTTTGGAACAAAGCTAGAGAGAAAGAGAGATTGCTTAAGACAAAAAGTGCCTTGATGCAATACATCAGAAGGCTGTGGGCCACGTGCAACACTCTGAGGGAAGACTCTGGTGCATGTTTGTATGTGTGATTGACTGAGTGCTGACTTATGTGAAGATTAGGGGAGAAAGGGATATCTGTTTACCTGGTCCAAGGTAGAGTACCTTGACTTGAGCGTGATGACCTCATCCAGGTGAGCCCTGAACTCTCTCCGTGAGGCCTGGAGGAAGCCACAGGACAGTAACTCACCTGATACAGCCTTGCCCGTCAACAAACACACACACACACACACACACTTCACAGTATACAGTCACAAACACACACTCTAAGGATCATCTAACACTGATGTAAAATATGAGGGGGAATCAAGCGAAAAGTCATAACAGCAAAACAATCCTACAACTGCGCAACCAAAGAGGAGCAAAGCAGCTGCAGCGTGTCTCTGTGTGTTACGTCGATTTTTCGTCTGATCTCTAAGAACAAAGGAGGCTTCCGTGGATAATGAGCACTCATGATTGTATTAAAGCTCATTTCTAGAACTCCTCCAACTTTGTGAAGCTGGAAGTGTTGCAGAAAAGTACAATATTATGAGAGATAAAAGTCTTCAGTCTGGAAGGACAAGCGTGCATTTGGTAGTTCTTAAAGCTGCTGTAAGCAATTCGAAAATCATGCTAACTTCCACCAACATTGCTATGGGATTGACTCTCTTTTGCAGCCTGTCTCTAGTGGTCAGTCGATGAATTGCAGTTTAAGTCAGTTCCTTGTTGGTTTCAAGAGAGAAACAGGAAGGACGCCGCTCGGTTTCAACACACTACTAACTCAACCAGGCCTCGCCCCTTTATTTTAAATGCGTCTTGGGCGGCAATTATTTAAATGAGAAATATTGTGATATGTTCTTTCCCGGAAGAAAACTCAAGACTACAATCAACTCCATTCCCATCCTTTTATACACTCTTGACAAAAACCCGCCTTCCAAGGGGTGAATCTCATCAAATCTTTCAAGAACATGTCTTAATCATATCATATCAAAAGAAGATAAATTACTGTAATGTGAAAAAACAATTATGTATTATATTATCTTTATTTGTTGTACAATTAACAGTATTGCTGTATCATGACAACACTTGTCGTCTTTAAAATATTAAATAAATAAATAACTGCCTATTAAAGTAATGAGAATCACCATTGAGAATAACAAAAAACACTCAAATAATGCAATAATAATTTGATGACTGGTGGTATTTCATAACAAAATTCCTTACAGCAGCTTTAAATGTTTGTTTTTTTTAATCAATCATAAAATTTTCCACATATTATCTATACATTTGTCTAATTACTGATCACTTTATCCTTATTTAAAGACAGAAAAGTTCACAATTCCCGAGAAACTGATGAATTGAAGCACACACACAAACACACCCAACAAACTATGAGGCATTTTGGGGGTAAACAAATGAACCGATGAGACAGGCTTGCTTCACAGGAATGAGTTGTGCACGTGTGAGGTGTGTGAGCAATGATTGGCCGAGTCTCTGAGAGGCGGTGCAGTGTAAAACATGCTGTACCTCTGTGACACTATAAGTGGATGAGCAGGAGGTGAGCCGGGCCTGGTGTAGGGAGAGAGGGAACAGGGAAGAGGAGGGTTAACACTGCAGCCACAAGCAGGGGGAACACATATAAACAGCATTCCCATCATTACAGTGGCTCACAGGCAAGTGCTCGACAGGGAGAAGACACATTCAAGACACAACTGCCAGTTTGACTGGACACAGCTGCGCACGTTTGCCAAGAAATTATCTTCAAACACAAAATGAAACATGCAACAAACTAGTTACAATGATAGCTCGCTGACAAAAAAAAAAAAAAAAACAGCAAAAAAGTAAATTCTGTCATCAATTACTCAAATGCATATCATTTCAAACCTCAATGACTTTCTTCTTTTAAAACACAAAAAGAGAATCCCAATTTAATAACTATCGTTTACTATTATGGCAAATGGCCAGTATTTCTTTCTGCTGTCGTGTTGCATCAGAAGAAGAAAGTCATGTGGGTTGAAAGATATGAGAGTGAATGATGATGGCAAAATTTTCATTTTTTGGATGAACAACCCCTTATAATTATATTTTGAACGACGGACAACTCCTTGCTCTTTTAAAATAAAATAGTTTAAACATACTCTAAAACTCACAACACAAAGCTTCATCTCTCCATTTAAGAAAACTAAACCGGTTTAAAAAAAAAGGTAATTCTGAAATTGTCATGGTTATAACATCACAACATAACATGACCGCCAACATTTACATTTACCATTCAGTATTCAGCAACTCAGCCCACTCTGATGAACGGAAATGCGAATTAGGCTAGTATTTCTCACATGCAATTAGCATTTCATAACACAAGTCAATTAAATACAGAACTCTTACAGTAGCAGGTACAGTAACAAAAACAGCCTGTTTAATCTCACTGTTTTTGGTACAGAACAGGGTCGCTTTAACAGACTGTCAATGTAGCTGTGTGTCAGAAGATATGTATGTGTCCAAACAACAGAACTTAAAGAATGAGATAAAGGATGGATTGACGTGTGAATATGAAAAACTGAAACTATGATAAATGGACACACAACTGGACAAACGCATACTTCGAATTAAACAGAACCAGTCAAGTCTATAATGTACCAATACGTGTCCTTGAAAACTTGTACCAGCCATTAAAGGGATAGTTCACTTTGAAATTATTTTTTGATATGTTTTAGCTTACCTCAAGGGCATCCAAGATGTAGGTGTCTTTGTTTCCACAGTATTTTCAATTTTGACATTTTTCAGTCAAACCGTTATTGTCCATCAGTCATACACTGGAGGCTAAGGGGGTCCACCAAAAAGCATGCACAGAGAAGTCAAAATTAAACATGATTTAATGACTCGTAAATGTAAGTACACAGTGATGGCCTAAGACATGAAACGAGCGGTTTGTGTGAGAAAACGAACAGTATTTATATCGTTTTACCTCTTGTAATCATAGCCATGACAAAATGATCTGACGGCACGGGCGCTTCGATCTGTGCATGCGCCGGAAGTGATCGCTTGCGCGCCTACGTCACTCTTTGTTTATACAGAGATTTCGGAAGTTTTACCTTTCACTAAACATATTTCGATATACGGGAAACCACAATGGAAGACGATTTCGGTATATCTAAATATGTTTAGTAAAAGGTAAAACTTCCGAAATCTCCGTGTAAATATTGAGTGACGTCACACGCAAGCGATCACTTCCGGCGTAACATTGAACTGATTCAGTTCGGTTCAGTTGGACATTGCAGAACTGATTCAGATCACTTGGACGTCACTGTGATTACACGAGGTAAAAACGATATAAATACTGTTCGTTTTCTCACAAAAACCGCTCGTTTCGTGTCTTAGGCCATCAATGTGTACTTACATTTACGATTCATTAAATCATGTTTAATTTTGACTTCTCTGTGCATAATTTTTGGTGGACCCCCTTAGCCTCCAGTGTATGACTGATAGACAACAACGGTTTGACTGAAAAATTTCAAAATTAAAAAAAATTCTGTGGAAACAAAGACACCTACATTTTGGATGCCCTTGAGGTAAGCTAAAACATATCAAAAATTAATTTCAAAGTGAGCTATCCCTTTAACCCAATAGGCACACACACACACACACACTACTAAAAAAATTAAATGCAGAGGCACTGCCAGATACAATATGTATCTCTTCCACAACTCTTGTCACATTCAATGACAGGGATGTGTAATCGCCACGGCAAGCGTAAGGGCCTGTTCTCCCCTTCAGCTGACCTTCAATCTCCTCTCCATTCATCAATGGACGAGAGGGAGAGGAGGTGGGGGTGGGGTGGGCTCGGGAGCAAAGGGTCATTGGCCTGTCAATGTCCATTTATTACACTTCCAGAGAGGTTAAGCCAGATACGCTGTCTCTCAAACTAACACACGCAACCTAAACGCGTTATTAGTGTTTATGTGGCTTCTTATTTTGGTTATCCCTGTATCCTATATTTAACAATTTTTGCGAGAAATTTCTTCTCTTTGATTATTCATAATAAAGGTCTGCCCTGTTTACACCTAATATGATATAAGTAACACAAAAGCACAGAATATTGGTTTCTCCAGCACTTTTGAGAGCTATGATAATACATTTTAAATCTGAAACGGGCATTGCAGAACACCTGTCCCACGTGCTAACGGGCGAGGTTGTTCCAGTCTTGCTCCCTTTAAAAAGTCAACCCATTTCAAGAGAACTAATGCAATCACTATACTGACAGCAAACATGCCCAGCGATGCAGCCAGTAATGTAATGCTTTCGCTAAAAAAAAACTTTCATGTCAAACCTCCACTTAAGCAAATGGGCATGGGAATTTTGTCTTCATGAAAATTATATTATTTTGTTATCATGACTTGTTGAGGTATGATTTTCAATTTGAACAGCTACATAGGCCAATATAGCCAGAGTATAACCCAACTCCTACTACACTTAACCTAAAACACCTAACAGCCAGAAAAAGTGCAGTCACAGTAGCGACAATAATGTCATTTTGGTCTTTATTCATTTAAAACAGAGCAGAAAGCAAAGGGATGGGATCGGACAACCCGATCTCATGGGAATTTGTACGAATTTTACGAGGTGGCTAATTCGTAACAATTCGTACGACCTCACTCGTACGAATTAGTACGATTTTGCTAAATCGTACATATTTTACGAATTAGCCAATTCGTATGAATTCGTACGAATGACCTACCCCTGACCCCGCCCCTAAATATAACTGTCACGTGGGTTTACACGAATCGTACAAATTCGTACGAGCGGGGTCGTATGAATTAGTACGAATTAGCCACTTTTGAATCACTCGTACGAATTGGTCATGAGATAGGGTAGGATCGGAGAGGAAGGGGAACATAATGTGTTAGAGCACAACACAAGAGGCTTTTTTAAAGTTTAGAAATGGTCAGGTTTAGGGTAAACGTTATACTCGGAGTGGTTTGTATCGTTAATCCGAGCAGTTCGAATTTATGCGTTTCAATGACAACACAATCAACGGTGAAATGAATCTGCAGCAGTCAGGTCAATGCTCTTTCAGTTTTTTTTTTTTACAATCATTATTATTGTAATTTCATGTGCTTTGAGATATGCGCTAGTTTAACACCGTCTCTCATGATGCTTTTGTTTGCTCCCTGCTGCTTCATGTTTTGAAGGAGGCGTGGCTTTGGAGACGCTCTGAAGGGAGGGTGGGATCTTAAGCTTACAAAGCTAGCTCACTATTGCTAGTCTCTGGGAAAATTGCCCACCCTTAATTACAGTCTCTTTTTTATGTCTCTTGCTGAAAGCCCCTCCAGGTAGTATCCTTAGTCAACCCTATCCTGCAAGTACACACCAGTGAACACACCACACACTCGCCTCAGTGAACACAGACGCTGTCCCTCTGACCATCCAGTGAAGCACAGGGTGAGCTTCAGTCTGAATTTATCTTCTATATCTCATATTGCTGTTATCTTGACTTATTATACATCACACACATGATGGGAATCACCAGTGATTCAGAGGTGATACCATCATGTGTATAATGTCATAAAGTGTTGTTGTTCATATATAAATATATATATGACACATTGAGTGGGTCAATCTACAATAATTGTTGCAAACTACATCTGAGCATATAATATACTATAATAATGTATATTTGTTTTATAACATATAATATGGTAATTTATTCAATAATATTTGTGAAATACTGAATAATGAAAGAATATGAAAGAAACAAAAACAAATATTGCACAATTAAAGTATTGTAATTTAATTTAGTCATACATTCTTTTTTAAAATCTGACATTTCTAATGCCAAATTTTGATGTCAAATACTTGAATATTTTTCAGAATTTGATGCACGATGTTGTTGGAATTTTTTTAATGACTCTATTGGAACGGAAACATTGCATCCGCAGCATCCGTTATAAATCTTAAAGCTCCAGTCCTGGATTCTGATTGGTCAGTTCCAGCTGTGCTAAAATTCATGATATGAGATGCCATCTTTTAGCATTTGTTTACATGTCATATCTTAAATATTTAATATTTTTATTCTATTATGTTATATGATAGTTTTTGTAGTAATATAATATTTTTCTGTTCACTTGTCAGACCAACTATTATAAAGCTAATATGTTTTGCATTATTTTATATTATAAGCTATTTTTTATAGTACCTAATTTATAAAATGTTAAAACTGTAGAAAATTACTCCTCGTAAAATACCGAAACTAGATTTTTGAAAACCGTGACATCAAGCGCAAGTGTATTACGTGTTCACTAAGCGTTTCTTTACAAAGATTGCCAAGTACTATAAAAATACAAATACAAATACATACAACTATATAAATATGCATATAAATACAATCACCAACTACTGGCCTGGCAAGGCTGGCATACACCGTTTTTAGTTGTTTTCACAGATTTCTGTGAATCATTTTGTCTGTATGCGAAAAACGCAAAGGAAAAACGTTCTTAGTTTTTCTTTAGTACACCATTGTCATGTAAATGTAGCCTAAATATTCTGTCAGAGAGACAGCCTGTTTTTGCTTA